TGATGTCCTAAGGAGTCGAGGAGAGAACTGAATTGGGCATTGGATATGGATCGGTTAGGAGGGCAATACGCTGATGCAAGAGTGACCGGAAAGGAGAAGGTTTTTATCACGATAGCGGTGGACTGTAGGAAATTATGTATTGGTAATGGGAGTACGTGATGGGAGAGGGATTGGTGTACAATTACAGCAGTACCGGCATGTGCTTTTCCGTCAGGGTGGTCAGTACGATATGTCAGGTATTGTGGTATATTGAAGTGCTGTTTAGTGGTTAGTCGAGTTTCAGTAATTAGTGCCACATCAATGTTCTTGTCAAGTAGTAAAGTAGATAGTTCGTCTGTATGATTTCTAACACCATTCGCATTCCAAAGGAGAATGGATATGGGTTTAGGGATGTGAGTCATTTAAGGATTTTTCAAAGGAGGGATGAGGTGAGATACGAGATTCGTGAGGAGTGATATGAGTGGAGTAACAAGGGATTTGAAATCGGTGAGGAAAGATGCTAACAAACTTGTGAGATCTGTTGCATTTGAAGGAGGAGGAATATGAGGAATTTGTTGTTGGTGGTTAGGTATATTAGGATGAAGAGGATTTTGAGGTTGGGTTTGAGGTTGTTGTTGTGGCAGGGCTTGACATTTATCGGTTAAAGTCTTACCCCTAAGTAGTTGGGAGAATGATACATCATTGTTTACAATTCTGGAAGGCTCTCTCTCTCTTCTTGTTCTTAGTGCTTCATCTTGAATCCCGTTTTTCTGGTGTCTGGTTTTGAGATTCTTGTAAATTTGGCAGCCTTTGTAGTTGGCCGGGTGTCCCTCCAAGCATAGGGCACATACTGCTGGATCTTGTATAGGTTTGTTGCACTCTACAGATTTGTGCTGTTCACCGCACTTCACGCAACGCGGCAGATGGTGGCAATATGTCTTCGTGTGGCCATAGGTCTGACAATTATGACACTGCACGATGTCTCTCTTGGGATATGGCTTCTCAACTTTCACCATTGTGTAGTATATTCTTGTGATATCATATATTTTTTCGATACCTGGTGATGGCTCCAAGTCCACGAAAAACAATGGTAGTGGGATCCTATTTCGTAATCCTGGCTGCTCCCTGTCCTCCTTCAAAACGTTTGTTACCTGGCGTACATTGAAACCGAGCGTCGTTAGTTCTTCTTTAATAACTTCAGTGGGGGTTGAGGAATGTAAATTTCTTATCACTACTCGTAAAGCTCTTTCCTGCCTCAGCTGGTAAGTGTGAAAATTCGCATTTGTTTCTGATAAGTACTTCACTATTTTTCGGTAGGCTTCTGCAGAATCAGGTGTTATTTTGGTGTCATTGGTCCTGTTAAGGCATGAATAACTGCCAGAGCAGATTTTATTTAGTTGGGTGCAGAACATCTGGAATTTTTTTATATTTTTCACAAATATCGGAGGAGGCTTTGGTTCTCTGGGTATTGCTGCAGACTCCATTACTTCTCTGTCATTTTGAAGCACTTGGTAGGGGTTTGGAGTAAAGAAAGGTGATTCTTCAATCGTTTCTTGTGCCGACGTACCTGGTTGGGGCTGAGGTTCTGGTTCTGAAGTGTTCATTTTGGTCACTGGAGGTATTTCTCGTAGGCAGCGACGAGTCCTTTGTTTGGCTGGTGAGCTAACTCCGTCTGACCGAGACCTCTTGGGCACCTTACTGGCCATAACTTGCTGATCATACCGCATATCATAAGAGAAAAATAAATAAATAAATAAAATAAAAATAAAAAATTTTTTTTTTTTTTTTTTCTTAAAATAACAAAAAAAAAAGATGCCAACAGTAAATATCAACTGCTCTGATATACACTTTAACTGTATCGCGTGAATAATCAGAGAGATTCCGCTATAAAATTGGTAAAAACTGAGAGAGGAGTTGAGGAGACAACCTTCTCATCAGCTGATCCACTGCCTTCTGAAAAAATTATGTCAGAAAATGACTTTTTGATTTGAATATCGTTTTAAAAAACTTTACCTTTAAGTTGTTAAGGAAGATGTCCAAATTTCTGGACAGATTGAAATTTTTGGTGATAAGTCTGGCGAAAATTATACTTTTATTAAGTGAAATAAAAAAATAAGAATATAATAATATTTTAGAGGTGTGCTTATCGGGGAACTTGACAATAAACGTGTCGAATCAAAAAGTTCACCGACATAAAATCGTTTTCAAATTAATAAAGACTAAGGAAAGCTTTGAGAATTCTGCAGTGAAAATATATCTTTCCATTGAATATTCCAAAGTTAGTGAGCTTTAAAAGAACTGGAAGATGTAATAGAGTCTTCTTCCCCATAAAAAAAATTTAATTCAACATAACATAAGTCTAACATAAGTTTCATTTCGAAATTCTCTAAAGTAGAAAAGAAAAAAAAATTGGACTGTGCTGATGTCAGAAGCACCCTGTGCACAATATTCTTGAACTAATGTACTAATTTTTTTTATATAATATATATAGCTTTCTATATCTTTTCATAGAAATATATGAAATTTATCAGAGGAAAAGAAGTGAGTTATATTTTTTTAAATAAATGATGTGTTGAATTTCGAAAGGAACGTGCACCCAATCTGCAAGGAAGAAGAACGAAAAAACTTCTTGAAATAGAATCAAGTGCATTAAAATCAGTATCGTGAGTTAAATTAATACATTTTACAATCTTCAGATATTATTGTCCGTGAACTTATTTATATATCGTCCATATTAATTATTTTGAAGGCCGTTACGATCCAACGGTTAGCTGATAAAGGATCCAGTTTTCAAAATCAGTAGCACGGTTAGAACGTTAGATAGTGAAAGTCTACAGCCTCGCCCAGCAATTGCACCAAGAGCTAAATGTCACTCCTACCTGATTCCAGGGATGTATGTATATGTATGTATGAGTATATGTGTATACATATATATATACATATTTGTCAATAATAGGGTGCAGTCGCTAAATAAACTACAATATTTTTCAGGCATTATTGATTTCATATTCATGACCAACAAAGAAAAAAAATTACATGAAATGATTGTATTAACGATTGATTTTTGTGTTACTCGTGGATTTGAAGACACTCTCAAATTATACCAATACAAATCATCTCAAGTTTTTATCATCATTTTAAATCATATCAAGTTTTTAAAGAATATCATACCACAACAAATCTTATTATTGATAAATGTTGTTAGGTCCTTTTTCAAAACACAATAGAGGCATAGCATATAGTAACAAACAGTACCTATTAAGCCTTCAAAAACTATTTCATATGTATATTTTATATTGGTTTATCCACCGAGCTAATTCATTGAATGGAAAATTTCTAGAGTGTTAAATTTAAAAAGCCTCACGTAGTAATTAAATTAAGTTTAAAGAAAACAGAACAACATCGTATTTACAACTATTCAAAATTAATGTCTATTCTAATTGTTTGACACACCTCAGTATAATTCTTGCATGGTACATTTGACGGTGTCGCACATCTTAACAAGTGCTATGCGTATGAAGCTCAGCAAAATGAAACTGGATTTGAGATCGACAATGTCGAAATTTTCTAAAACTTATATACTTTTTTTTAAATTAAGTAGTTTTAATGTGTTAATTTAATTTTTAATTTTTAAAAAAATAGTTTAGCCGCAGTGAAGCGGTTGAGAGATAAGTGAAGGGATCTCCTGGAGTCATGCTTTTTCTCTCCACAGTTGGAGGGATGTCTGGCTTGGAGTTCTCTCGTCTGATTTTAAATAGTGTAAATAGGTATGTATGTGTTCTTTTGTATTTATTTATTTTTAGGTTATATTATACTTATTTATTCTAAATATATTATTTTTCTGTATAGTTTATTTTTATTGTACATAGAGTGTGAATGTGATTTGTGAACACTATTATAAATGTCCTTTAAGGCAGATTGTAATATTTTCAATAAACAAGTTAAAAACAAAATGTTAATGTTTTTTAACTTTATATTAATTATAAATTCGTTATTTTTAATTATAGTTTCTATCTGTAACATAAAATATTTTGTAAGGCTAAAATGACGCATGTGATCAAATAGGCTCAGTTATTGAAAATCCAAAACTATAAAATCATTGTTGGTAACTTTTGTTTGTTAAAATTATATTTTGAAAATTTATCATAAATAAATTTTAAAAACAATATTTTTTTTTACTTTAATTTTGTATGCTTTTGCTTTTCTTTTTTTAGTTTATACAATATATTTTGGGTAATTTTTAGTATTAGCAGTGACTAGTTTTAGAATAGGAACATATTAATCTATTTTATAAAATTCATTAATTATGAATAAAAAAAAAGTATGCCTAAACTAAATAAAATTATATTTATTATTTCAGCAATAATAGAATCCAGATTAAATATTTTTACTAACCGTGCCAAATGAATTTTCCTGAAAAGGTTTCCACATGAGATGTGTTTTGTCAAAACATAACTCATCATCAATATTTGTTTCAAAACGCCATTATCAGTAGCTTGATGTGAACGACTTAACAGAATGTAAGATTAAAGTTGGTATTATTATGGTGACGGTAATTCTGTATTAAAAAGAACATGAACATACATCCATTTTCAAACAGCCCATCTCAAAAAAAAAATAATTGTAATAATCATTTGGAGCGGAAGTAATATATTTATAAGTCATCTTATCTGTTTATATCTGAAATGATTTGTTTTTGTATGATACAATTTTAAAAAATAATGTAATAATTTCTTTAAAATTCTGTATGTTTATGTGTTAACATCAATATGCCTATAATTATGCCAACATATTATAATTTATAATCTTTAACGGTCACATTGAAATGATTATTACCCAATAAGTCAACAATAAACAATTAAAATTATTGTCTGAAAGTTACATTAAAGATATTAAAAAAAGACATTTCCAGTTTAGAAAACAATTTATTTAACATAAAAAATATTAACTAGAGGAATAAATAACTATAGGAATTGTGAAAAATAACAGGACTATTCAGGTACTATTCAATAGAAAAGCGCTTAATGGTGGAGGAGGGTAGAGCCATATCCGTAGCCAAGACCGTATCCACCATAGCTACCATAGCTGCTACCGTAGAGACCTCCATAGGAGAGTGGGCGGGAAGCGTAGGATACAGCAGGAGCGGCAACAGCAGCGACTGGGGCGTGAGCGACGGTAGTGATTGCTGGAGCAGCGGCATAGCTGACTGCAGGAGCAGCGTAGCTAACAGCAGGGGCATGGGCTACAGTGGCTACTGCTGGGGCAGCGTAAGAGACAGCTGGTGCAGCATGGGCAACGTAGGAAGAGCTAGAGTAAGTGGTTGGGGCATGAGCAATTGCTGGAGCGGCGTAGGATACAGCGGGAGCAGCAGCGGCGTATCTGATAGCAGGAGCTGCTGCGTATCTCACAGCAGGAGCAGCGTACCTGATGGCTGGTGCAGCATAGGATACAGCTGGAGCGGCGTATCTGATAGCGGGAGCTGCAGCAGCGTAGGATACAGCTGGAGCGGCGTATCTGATGGCGGGAGCTGCGGCGGCGTATCTGATTGCTGGAGCTGCAGCGATAGCAGGAGCAGCATATGAGATCGCTGGAGCGTGGGCGACTGTAGCTACTGGAGCATGATGGGCAACATAGGAAGAGCTAGAGTAAGTGGTTGGAGCGTGAGCAATAGCTGGGGCAGCATATGAAATGGCTGGAGCGTGGGCTACGGTGGCAACTGCGGGAGCAGCATAGGACACAGCTGGAGCAGCGTAGGATACAGCTGGAGCAGCGTAGGAGAGTGCAGCTGGTGCGCCGATGAGGCCTCCTGCAGAGGCGGCTGCGATGCAGGCGAAGAGAATGGCCTGAAACAGATGTCTAATTTATTAATTCTGATTAAGTGACTTCTTAATCTAAGCAGATTCTAAATTAAACATAATTCTATTAGACCATTAAATTATAAATTATTGTTATATACATTATGACTTACGATCTTGTACATGTTTGCTGTCGGAGAGCTGAGAACTGTGTGCAGTCCACCGGAGAGGGAGCGGCTTTATACTGGGCCTCTGGAGCTGGAACCGGATCACGGTCAAGAAGACGAACCGCAATCGCCACCACCAGTTTCTGGTTGACATATTGGAAATTTCAAATCACTGGGGTCAACTTTATACCTTCTTATCTTCACACGGTTTATGAGTATATATTACTCATTGAACTGAACTATAATAGCATTGTTAATTAGGTTTAACACCTGCAAAATAGACTGTATAAAGATTGAAGTTCAAACTACCTATTGATTTTTTTTTTAATATGTTAGCAATCTTTAAGTAAACCCGACTCTAAGAGTAATTTTTTATTTAGATCATTATTTTTTGCATTTATAACATATTTTTTTATTTATATTAAACCTTAAAAGTAAAAATAAGAATATACGTTGGATTGAAGATAAAATATTATATACTTTTAGAAAAAAAGTTATTATTTAGCAATTAAATTAACATTCTTCGTGTTTTTGTTTTTTTAGAATGTAAAGATAAATGAATATCTGGTAAAATAAATATAAACATGCGAGGCAACATATTTTTCAAATGAAAATGGTAAATATAATTATGTTGAAAACTATTAAAGTCAATTCTAGAATCAAAACCAGCTTTAATGTTACACTAAACAATAGTCTTGCTAGAACGCATAGTTTACCTGATACAAGCAGAAAACAAAAAAAAAAAAACCTAATAATTTAAGAGAAGGGTGGTTGGGGTGATCAGTTAAATAAAAAATAGCAAAAATAAATAATAATATTTATTTTTACATTTGCCCACTACATTCGACCCGAAGTTCGAGCCTTCATCAGGGCTAAGAAAAGAACCAGATAACAATGGGTATGGGAAACATAAAAAACGTAGGTGGAAGAACTTAAAGTAAAATGAAGTAGTTATACCTACTTTATTTTACTATAATGTTCAGTTATCTACTTCATTTTACTTTAAGTATTTCTATCTACATTGTTTATGCTTCCTGGACCTATTGTTATCAGGTTCTTTTCTCAGCCCTGATGAAGGCCTGAACTTCGGGTCGAAAGGTCGACAAATGTAAAAATAAATATTATTATTTATTTTTGCCTTTTTTTATTTGACTGATCATCCGAACCATCCTTCTCTTCAATTATTCACTACAGTCAACCATCAATCCACCATAAAAAAAATAATATTTTTTGAATCGTAAATTCAAATTTTCCACATTAAATCCGTAGGTAAGTAGTAACTGACCATCATTTAATGTGTTAGGAAGGTAAATACTATAAATCTAAAGGATTAGTGGCTTAACATCTTCCGATTTAATAAAAACTTAGCCGTCTTTTATTTGCTTAATTACTGTTGCATAAGTACTGGGCAAGGGGTGGCTATAGTCAGTGGCCACATTGCTAAGTCGATTAGTCACCATATTGTAGCTATCTGTCAAACATAATAATTATTCAAAACCAGTCTGGTATCTTGAGTAAACTTTTTTTAATAAGAAATAAAGTTGATATTCGTTTTTCGCACCTCAAAAAATCTTTAAATACGAGTTTTTATAGCAATCGAAAAATTAAAATATTCTGCACGAAATTTTACCTAGGCATGGACTCTTCAAAATGTTGTCAACACCAAAAAAAAAAGTGATAACTTTAGACCGACTATAATATATTCTATAAATATACCACCTAGCCACACAAAAATATTAAGGATTTAAACAAAAATATTGGCCTCTGTATGCTACACGAAATGGTACACTAACGACCTCCGTAAACAAATTAGAAGCAAAGATATAAAATAAAAATGATCTAGAAGTTTTTTTTTTATTTCTAAGTTAAACAGTAATGAAATTAATCAAAATTGTGGTAGTTGAATCAAATTAATTCAATTTAATTTGAATGAAATTAATGTTGAACTTGGAGAAAATTCTGAGAAGTTATGAATGCTCTTGAAACTTTTGATTTCTATGAACATTTGTATTTGAGAGTTTCAAAGGAAACTAAAAATGAATGAAATTGAATCTAACTTTCTTTTTGATAACAAAAAATTATTTGGTCTACTTTACTACAAGCGTCTTTCCGTTTGTGTAATTTATGATACATTATAACTCATTTAATACAACAGTAAATAAAAAATTCGGACAAAGCGAAATCGAAAATAAATAACATAAATTTTGTTTGAAATTATATCAAATATTTTTTCTCGGCTCGTAGGGTCCATGGAACGAACGCCGGAACATATGTCGAGATATTATCACCGGGACGAAATAGGTTAAAATCGGTAACTCTCTCTAGTCTCTACCTTGTGAGCGATATCATTTTATAAAATTAAATGAAATCTCTATTTTCGGAACTAACATTTTCTCCCCTATAAATGACTTTGTGCCTTTACTCTACAGCTTATAAACTAGAATTCACAGTTGGTGTTTTTATATTTTAAAAACTTTACTTTTGAGGCATTTTTAACTTCGTCTCCCAGTGTGTCAATCAAAAACTGCTCCAGTGCCTTGTAGATCAGACCCTGACCATATTCAAATTTGTTGGAGGAGGGTTTGTTTCAGGAAAAAATACCATAGTGAACGTTTACTTATCACCAATAGGTATTGGTGTTTCGGCTGCATTTGCAGTATTTCTTAAGAATAAAGAGTCTAGAATTCCAGATCATGCTTTACCACACACCGTGTTGATTTAAATTAAAAGATTTTAATGTAAACTCCTTAAAAGTTTGGAGCTCTAGGAAAAAAATCATGAAAACATTTATACACGAAAAAGACCAAAATTGTCATTATTTAAAAATAAATAGAAACTGACAGATTGAGATATTTTTATAAAACGAATTTTAACTTCCCATGCAACAAATTCGAAAGATTTTCCTAATACTTAACGTTTATCTCAATTCCTACCTGACCACTCCAGATCTTTGAATATCACCGTGATTGTTCCGTGGTTTATCTCAAGAGTCTTCAAACTTTTTGTCCCCTAGGGGCCATATTAAAATGTTTTGTTCGGTGGAGCATGGCTTGCGACGAAAATAAATGTTCATCTTCATAAACAGCGAAAATCAGGCATCAATGTTATCGCCACATCGCCATAAAACAACAATAGAACATTTTATAATTGATTTTAAAATCTTAATACATGAAAATATTTTTTGGTTCATCCAGCAATCATGTTTTGTTTTTTTATTTAAAGTTTTTCATATCATCCAATGATCTTCATTTTAAGTTTTCAAAAACTGATAAAAACCTAGAGACATGTCTTTAAAAGGGTACTCATATTAGGAGAGGATTAGAATGGTGAACAGGTTTTATTTATTTTTATTCTTTCATACATCTCTTGACTTTTCAACTTCCGACATGAGTAATCTACCAGCTCTGTACAGGCAACTGAGCCTGCACTTATTCATTTTAATTTAATATTAATTAAGTTTTTTGTCTTTTTGTTTCTAAATCCTGCGAACGGGATTTGAACTCATAAGACATAAATTTTTTGCAGGCGCCTTAACACGCTCAACCACCGCGGTCCCCAAAACAAGAAAGTAAATTTAATTTAAAGTAAAATGAACATTGTCGCCATTATAAGCAGCTGGTCCCAAAAAGATTAAGCAAGGCAGATGAGATTTAAAAAAGCGCGCTGGGTGGCCCAGCGGACTAACGTGTGCGCAAAATACGCGTTGTCCTGCAACCTGATAAAAACGAATACTATTAGTTCAAATCCCGATGATCGAGGACTTTTAACTCTAGCTTTGATTCGCCGCCCTCTCGCCTGACCTATGAAAAGTCCCTTCCAGCCAAAAAAAGGAGGAAGGGAGAAAGTAAAAAAAAAAAGTTATAAAAAACTAAAAGCTCATCTATTTTTATTGAATATTTAATAGTTGACCATTGCATTGTAAAGGAAGGAGATGGTCCCGGGTGGCGGTCATAAATAGGCTAAGTAGTGGCAAAACTATTTTATTAAAAGCCAACGTTTCGACCGAACTTTGCAGATCTTCTTCAGGAAGTTGTGTTCCGCTAGGAGTTTCAATTAGAACTGGACGCATTCTATTCAATTTCTAATGCGCTGTATAACTTGAAGGGAACGGACTTTTACATCGAACATTCAAATAATCATGAAGTTCTTTTCTATAATTAACTATTTTCCTATAATTACCGTAAAGTCAGAAATAATAACTATGACTCAACATTTTTTCCTGTAAACATTGATAATTTGAAAAAGCAGAATTTCACATTGAATAAAACTGAAGGAGAATTTCAGTTTACTCCTAACCAAATTGATCTACAGAAACTTATATTTTATTTAATAAAGAGGTTCTTTTATATGCGGATAATCTGTTGTCTTCAAATAGTTTGATTTAAAAAAAAAATCAGGTTTAGACATAATATCTGCATATTTAATGATTGTTCTGATTTCAGATAATTTTAGTATGTAATAATTGTTTTTAAGAATATTTAAAGTCGCCGACTCTAAAAATATCAAATTAAGGGGAAATAGTGATATGATAAAGCCAGTTCTGATATTCGGCTGTGTCACTTAAAAAACAACCAGCTCTTTATACATCAATACCGAAAGATTAGAGAGGAAAATCAGAAGATCTGAGTATTAACACTTTAAAAAGAAGGGCCGATAAATAACTACTTACCGAAACATTTCAATCAATATTTCATGATATGAAGACCGGGGACTTAAAATAAGCGGACATATGTTTTGAAGAAATCCATCTGAAAGCCTCTGAAATAGCACAATAATGAAGGCCTCCATCGTAAATAAAAGACCACTTGGCCTTACCGGATAGATAGAGCAAAGATGATGCAGAGCTGTATGCCGAGAACTGAAAGTGTGAACTAGAACTAA